TAATTTTAATTGAACATGGCGACATGCGAACAATTGCGAACATAAGGGGGGGAGGGGGTTAAGATTTCCCAAAAAGTGCGAACGTAATATGTGAATCACCCCCAAGAATTGACAGCCAATTCCATAATTTAACCACGATCTGGTTTAACATTAATAAGATTACATTTTCAAATTTTATTGAAAATCTATACCGACTATGTTATGAATTCTTTGCAGCAATGTAATTTCCATAACAGAGTTTGTGTGATGGATAAAAAATTACTGCAGTGTAATGTAATGGTGGCTTATATTCCTTATTGTGGATTTTAAAAAGTAGACATTTTCTTTTTAAGTATTATTTTTAGTTTATAAACAAAAATTTAATTACTGTTTTATTTATTATTCTGATTAATTTAGATCATTTATTGAAATTTAATTAATGTATAATTTTGATTATTATTTTATTTTATTTTATTTTAATTCGACTTAAACTAGGTTATTAATTTTTAAAATTACTTTTTACTTAAAATGTATCACGTTAATTATTATAAATATTTTTAATATGATTTTACTGAAAATATATTAAATATTATACATTAGGAACTATTTTCGTAGTTTCTCGTAATTTCTATGTAATGACTTCATTACAAATACGGTATATTTAATAACATGTAATATTAGGATTAATATTGTTAGTCATAAATAGTTTCTATTGACTGAACATAAGATTAATGTTACAACAAACTCACAATAAGTTAATCGCGAGTTATTTACTCAACGATTAGAAATATACCGGGGCTTACATTTAATGGTTCACTCAACTAATGGCCAAACTATGACTGATTAGGCAGTGATTCCGGCAAAGAATTGAGTCTTTAATTAAGATAATTGTGAGATGCCTTACATAACGATATTTTATGATAATTTAAAGCATATGTAATATTAAGAGAATCGAGTTTTAATCAAACGAATGGGATTTTGTTGACAAAATTGATTTTAATTCTGAACATGTTCACTCTCACACACTCTCACACACTCTCACACACTCTCACACACTCTCACACACTCTCACACACACACTCACTCTCACTTTATTGTATCAGAAAATATTATTGTGTATACAATCGATAGTAAATATTTTTCAGATAAAATCCCAGTTTTGAAAGCTATAAATATTATATCTTGACTTTTATAACATTTTAAACACTTTACACCGAACTCGTATTGACCCGAGTTTGGAAAGTAAAAGTTTGTGCTTTATTTGAAAATAAAGCAAAAATAGAGTAATTTATATAAATAAACTGGAAACGATATATACAAGAAAGTTATATAAAAATATTTGGAGACTTTTTAGGAGTTAAGTCATGAAAATATATAGTATTTTGTGTTTCGGGTACCAAACCTCTCCATCCATTGAAATGAAGTTGTAATACAATAAAAGGAATTGAGTTTTTGCAATACAAGCACTTCATGTCAAATGCTTATAGTTTTCAATATGTATTCAAACATATTCTGTTGTATTCAATATACAAAATGTTATTATTTTAATGTAATTTTATTATATATTACATGCACTGCGAGAGAGATAGAGAACAATAAGAATGATAAAATATTTTCATATATAAGAATATATGAAATATATGTATAAGAATATATATGTATAAGAATATATATGTATAAGAATACAAGTGAATGAATACAAATTTGACATTATTTTTAACAAAAATTCTTGTTTTTTGTTTAATGATATCAGAAACAAAGTTTATTTTTAAAAGTGAAATATTTTGTCTGAAGAAAAATAATGCTACAATTTTTTTATTTAAAGGCAAACTCAATAATAATGCTTTTGTTGAATTGAAAAACGGAGCAAAAGTTTGAGTGAATTTTTTTGCCCATCAGTTAAATGTCTGGCGAGTAGTGATGTAGTGATTGACTGCACCTCCCGTACAGACATTTATCTTCGGCTCCAAAAGAAAGTAAAAATTCAAGACTATATAAGAAACGATGCGTAAAATCAAAATACTTCACTGAAGTCTGCAAACTGAAAATCATACTAAAAATCAAACCATGTTTAACAATACACAGCATAATGTGTTCTGCTTTTTAAAGTATTTTTTAGTTAATGTGTATATCGATAAATTATACCATGTTTAATATCATTTATTGTTTAAATAGTCACAAGTCGTCGTAAATATTTTGCTTAATTTATTCTGAATTTTTTGATCGATTGCTAAACAATTGAATAAACGGTCGAAAATTCTTGAGTGGAAACTACACTTCAATTGCAAACGAAGAATAATTGTTTGCGATTTTGAGGCAAAAGCAAAACAATACACTCTTTTTGGTTGAGAGGAAGTCTTTCATTGGAAAGGGACGGCCAGAATGTCTGCCAACACAATGAATCTTAATAATGCACTTTCAGTACCCTATAGTTCATTGTATCGCTACTGGTTAGACCTTATCATGCACATTTTTCATTTGTTATGCTCTCTGAATACATTTTTGAATCGATTTGAATTTGATAGCAGTTTCAAAAATATTAAGACAATGTATGGTCACCCCATTCCCTATACGAGTCGGTTAATCATTTGCTTTCAATCGATTTTGCGTTTAAAAAATTAATGATTATTTCGCTAAAAATCCTTTTCTACTAAATAAATACAAAGAGTTAGAGATATATTTCTGCTCTAAAAGATTATCCGTTTTAAGTGAAATTAAAATCTATAAAATTTTAATGAATAATTAATGGTCTGCAAAATAAATCAAATGCTTGGCATTTGAACTATAGATTGTTACGTCCAAAACAAATTATCAAACAAATACCAATTTCCTTGTTTATAGTGAGAGATTCAAAGGATTTAACTTTTAAAATAGTTTTCCGATTGAGTAAATAGTGAATTAAACTAAAGTTAATTCAAAAGCTATAAAAATAACGATTCAGATATAAAATACCAAATCATTAATTTTACATTTCGTTATATATATTTTTATTTATGTTAAATTCACACAAACAGTATTTAAATAAGAATTTGAGATATAATTGAATTTCTTTATTTTTGCAATTTAATAGAAATGTATTTTAAAAATTTAATTTAGTATAAAATTTTTTATTTTAATAACTTCAATATTTCATTTTCCCACAAACTGTGAAACCTTAAAATATGTTTTTGTCACTTATAAATATACATTACAAATAAAATTTAAAACATATGAATACTACACTACAGTATATTAATATAATTTAATTTCACAATTGTATTGCCTATTTTATATTAAAGTTACTAGTTTATTATACAGTATATTGTTTTGACATTTACATCAACTGTATGAAATTCTTAATTTGAATATAATTATATGAATCTTAAATGAATTTATTTAATACAAGAATATCAATAGTGTTTGTATTCAAGACTTATGTATAACTTATGAAAACTTATGTAAAAATATAAGTCACGGGAGGATTGATTTAATTGTTTCATAAGTTTCCCGTTTTCTAATCAACTGTTTTTATTGAACTGGGAATTGAAATAACAGTTTTGTATACATTTTGTTGAGAGCAATGGCGCAATCATTTACAGTATTTGTTGAAATTTCTGAGGCATTCATTTCATTGAATTTTATTAAGGAGAAAAGCAAATGCTCTTTAAATGTCTATTCTGTTCAACCGTTTAATAATAAGTAATTTAGTGTTTTGGACACAAAAATTTGTCTCTCAAAAGAGTACTCTATTTCTTTATTTGCTTCTCACTAATTGTAATTTGTGTTCAATTGGATGGTGTCGTGCCATATGTGACAAAACAGATACAAATTATGGAAACTGCTTAACCTTTTTGCAATATTCTAAGTAATTTTTGATTACAAAATAATTTTTCTATTTTTAAAAATTAATCAATTTATTGATTTATGGTTCAAAAGTTTGATAACTACAAAGTATTTAGTTTGTACAAAATAATAATAATACTATTTTTGTGTATATTTTTTACTCAAATCTATAAAAAGAGATAAATTAAATTATTAAATGCAAAAAAGTTTTTTAGGAATCCATTAATTAAATTATTGAAGGAATTGAAGCAAGATATCACATTAAGACAGATTATATATATTTAGTAATTGACAATTAAATAAATTATAATACAGTAGAAAATATCGGAAAATGTTTAAATCATCAATCATTCAGTTCTTCTATTTTCTCTTTCTTTGATTTATGAGTTGATTGAATAGAGATTTGGCTCTATTTGCTAAACAAACCGATACTATATTATTGTTTGACGAAAAACTCGTTTCCCAAAACTTTCTCCTTCTCTCTCATCCCATTTATTGACATTTTTATATCTATTTTTAATTTTGTCATTATTTTGTATTTTATTTCTCTAAATTTATTCATATTAAATTATTTCATAATACTTTAACCTTATATGGCAAATGTCTGACACAAAATGTGTAAATTTATACCCAAATAAACAGTCACTAAATATATCCGCATCGGAATCGGAGATAAAAACGAGACTCTGGTCTACAATATATCGACTTACTTTAACCTTATATGGCAAATGTCTGACACAAAATGTGTAAATTTATACCCAAATAAACAGTCACTAAATATATCCGCATCGGAATCGGAGATAAAAACGAGACTCTGGTCTACAATATATCGACTTTAGAGCCAAACAACAGTAATAGCGAAACAAAAACAGATATCAATGGGAATAATATATTTGCAACGATGTCACCAAATGAACGCCAAGAATGTAAGTGACACTCACTTATCAAACCATTATTCACTCAACCCTTTCATGTCCTCTCATTCATATTTAAAGTCTTATTTTTAATGTTTCTTATTTAATAATTAATTTAATTGCCTTTCATTTGAGATAATAGTTTGGAGGCATTCCGAGAATGTTGTTAAATATTTAAACTTAACATATTATGAATTGCTGTAAATATTTATAAAATATATAAAATTTAGTCTTTAGTTCCAGATAACGAAAAGTAATTTAATTTTTCGGTAAATAATGAGCGAATAAATAATACGCTTAAAGTGAATATTGCGGCACAAAAGAAATGTTTGTGTATTTAAACTCTATTTCAATGAAGTGTTGGGTCTTTTTATTGTGAGCAAAAAATCTGTTCAAACAGTGATAGAAAAGTGAGAAAATAAAAGGAGAGAAAGTCTTTCAATCTTCTTATGAGCAGAGATTTAGCACCAAAATAGTCGTATTATTATTTAAATTGGTTTCACGACAGCAATGATTTGATAGTGAATCCAATATTTTTGTTACGCCTTTAGGTTTGCAGTGCTTTTGTGTTGAGAATAATAATAAGAATATAGAAAATCTGCTACTTTTTTGTTACGAAAAAATAAATTTTCATTTTTCATTCATTCAATGAAAAATTCTTTCTGTTTGTATTTATTTATTTATTACAAAGTGATTAAAATATTTAATGTTAACTCATGCGATAGCTTTGTAGCACTTTTGCAATACTATACGCTAATGTGAGTTAATGTGAAATGTTTGACTACACTATAATGAAATGTTTGCATAATTAAGTCAAACACTATTTCGTTGGATTAGGAATTTGTATACATATCACAACTTTTTTACTGATTAATTGCTCTCACATTGTATTTAGAATTTATTTCAGACTAAAAAATGATTATAAATAACAAGTAAACAATAAACTGATGAATGAATGAGGGCTATAAATATTTCCACAAATATAAACCTATTTTAGAGTAATTTGAATGAGAGGTTTTGAAAATTTTATTTTTCTAATGCTTGGAGTAAATGATGGGTCAAATTGAGTGAAATCTTTTATATCCGTTAAAGTTTACTATAATATCTTAATTCTATAATTTATTATATAATGTGATAGTAATCTGATATATTTGTATATTTTATTTAAATATAAATATATAAATACTTTAAAATAAATGAGTTAGTTAAGCAATTTTCAATAAGGAATTTTATGAATAACTTAATCTTATTCCTATTAGTTTTAAGGATTATTTTGAGATATTTTTGTTAAATTAATGAACAATTTCTATAATTACTTTAGATTTACTTTAAAATGACACGCATAAATTTACATAATTAGGCTAATTAAATTTTTATTATTTTCTTAATCTTTTTATTATTTTCTTAATCTTTTGTGTGAATGAATTTATAAAATAAATATTTTTCTGTGAATTGATAATAAAAATAACTTTCAGTCATTAGAAGACGTTACGGACTCCGAAAGCAACCGATAAATAGTGACATTTGGCTCAACGCTAACAATAGATCACAAACTCCTTCGCCGCCAATCGATACGTATATCAAAGAAGTAAAAAATGAGTGAAATTTTTATTATTTAATAGTTTGTGAAATAATTGAATGACATGTTTTTCCCGGGAGGTTAGCGCTCAGAAAGAGATAAATTTTTATTATTATAAGTACGAGATTTAGCGCTAGTGTTATGTACAGTATTTTAACAATAATTCACATATGAGTTGCAAAATTAAGCTCTTTTCCAAACATTGCAATCAATATATGAATTCATATCACATTATGAGACAAGAATTTTACACAAGACTATGTTTTCACATAAATTATATAATACATGGCAGTATATGTTGTACTGAATATAGAGATATTATGTTTTAAGCATTTGGAGACAAATATAAAATCATAAAATTTAATATAAAGAATTCAATCAAAATTGAGTTCATTTTATTATAAAAAATAGAGATAACTTACAATTGAATATAAAATGTGCGGATTTTATTCACAGCATTTTGTTGCATAGAATATATTATCGCTTATCTATTGTGTGTATTACTGAACTTCTGTACAGAATATTCTATCGCCTATATATATATAATATAATATATTTATTATAAATACAGAATTAAACCGAATATATATATATTTATTTATTTTATGACTTTTTTGTCTCTTTTCTCTAATTTTAGTATAAATATCGTGTCGTTTCCAACGATAATATCAGTAGTTATTCGAGATTTCATTTTAGTGATGACCAGAACATTGAGCGCCAGAGTCGGCCCACTTTTGAAATCGAGATCATGGAAGAAGACGATAGATATTTACCAAAAAGACTTTTACAGGTTTGACATCAATTGATAATAACGTTATGTTGTGTTCGAGTAATCAATCAATTGTATGCAGAAATTGACGGATCCTTTGAGACCCTCTTTATATATCATATTATATTATATTACTTTTACTCGACTATGCATTCAGTTTATTATATTACATAATATTTTAAGGGTAAAGAGTAAATGGTATCCTTTTACTAAATATTTAGTAAATTATTTCTATCGTAATATATTTTATAAAATAATAAATAAATCAGAATTATTTTCAATTTCATTTCAATTAATTAATTTTTAATTGAAAATTATTTGAGTATTTTTATTTGGTTCTGAATTATTATGAATATGAAGTTAAAATTAATTTAATATAAGTGAATGTTAACATTCACGATAATAATAAATAATTTTATGAAAATTCATGTTAACACAGAATTTTACAGCTTACAAGTAATCTTATATTTTTGTCTATAATCTATTGATTCATTTAATATTAGTTTAATGACATTTGAGTTTAGTAATTAAAGTTTGAATTCTGTTTGTAATTAATAATTAGTGATTAGAATTTTAATGAGAATAATGAATATAGAAATAGTGAATAAATTTGAGTCAATTATATCTTAATTAGTGAGAGTCTGAGAGCAATACCACTTTTAATGAAATTCGCTTTATTTTGATTATCAAGCCTTCAATCTGATGACCATTTGATGATTTGTGATATAATTCTCAAAATGAAACGAATTTCCAAATTTAATTAACTTTTATATTCCGGCCTTCGTTTCAATACAAGCAGTCGTTCCCCTCTTCTGGGAATTTATTATCTGAAAAACAGTTCATATATTTTGATGTCATATTGATATTAAATATTTATAATAGCGTTATATATTTTAATTATTATAGTGTTTTAAAACCAAATCTATAGAAAAAAGACAAATAAAAGGACAAAATACTCAAATGATTTCCTTAAAGTGTTTAAAAAAGTAAATTTTATGGTAAAGAAATCGATTTGCGAGAAAAACAGTGTTTAATTGAGTCCTAAAGAATGTGCAAACAATAAGACAATACTTAATGATCACAACTCTCTGTGTTTTAAATGTGAAGACAGTGTTTGGCAACTCTTATACTTCAGTTTGTCTGATATGTTGAGAATACAGTATAACTGAAATTTTCTTGTATTTGTTATGCAATTACTTAAACGTATTTTCTTTTGCACTGTTTGTACTCTACGGTACAGTAGAGTGGAGTTCAGTGTAGTTTTGCGTTCAAAAACATTTGCCATTGAGAATGAAAATTGGATTTACTTTTATGTATGTATTCTGTGAACATTGAGATACAATGAAACATACATTAGTGTGGAGTCAATATTAGGAACAGATTTGCATTCAGTTTACCAAATGCTCACTATTTCTGTACAAATAGTCAGACAAGAGATGGAAAGAGCAAATGATTTTTTATAACCCAAACACTATTGAGTGCAGCTGTTTCTCAATGAATATTCACGGCAGTCAATACCTTAGCATTTGAATCACACTATTCATTTATCACATAAATTAGAAAGTGTCAAAAAAAGTAAATCACAATTTTCACCACTATTTGGAATTTAAATTTATTTAAATATTTAACATTCTATTAAATTCACTAAAATAGTTAAATTTAATTAAAGCTTGAAATGAAATAAACAAAAAATCATTTAAGTACTGTGAATATATTTCAGTAATAATTGAATTAATTCTAGAGAATAGCAAAGAATACATTATTGTAATTATGAAAGAGAATTAAATATTAAACGATATAAAACATGTCAGATATATAGAAAATAAGAGTTTTCTTATGAAATTAGGTGACAGTAAGTGATGATAAATATGAGCCGAAAGACGTGATCTACACATTTAGTGGCGATGGTGTGGATGTGAAAAATCAGAGCAGAAGTAAATTTGCAATAAATACAACTTCGGGTGAAATCTATGCGTTGTGTGCGCTGGACAGGGATCAGCCTTTCGGAAGGCCTCAGTGGAAGCTCTCGGTATACGCGGAGGACGCGAAAAGTGGGCAATTGGTTGGCTTTGCGGATGTTCACATTAATTTGAAAGACATTAACGACAACTCGCCATTCTTTGCACACAAACACTTCTGGGCTAATGTGACAGAAAACGGCACAATCGGTCAGTTCGTCATTACGTTGATCGCTATCGACGTCGACGACCCCTTTGACGGATCCAACGCCAAGATAGTGTACAACATAGAGGATAATCAGGTCAATGATGACGGCGATCTCATATTTGCCATCGACTCAAACACCGGAGTCATCACAACTGATGTCTGCTGTTTGGACAGAGAACTGCACTCTCAGTACAAAATCAAAGTGATTGCCAGCGATGGGGACGGACTGAAGGTATGTGTCTTAAGAGACAAACAAATGATTCAATTAATGAATAAATCAATTTGAGTGAGAAATGACTCGCACTTCCTTTAGGCGACCACTACTGTCACCATAACTGTGACGGATGTCAATGATATGCCGCCGAAGTTTAGTAAACAGGAATGGTTTGCAGAGATCGACGAAATTTACATCAATTATACAAATGAAGAATTAACACAACAAATGCCTATTCTTATAGTCACTGTAATTGATTTGGATTTGTTTGAAACAAACGATTTTGTCTTTAAAATCATTAAAAATAGTGAAATTAGTGAACACTTCTCATTGACTGCGAACTCGGATTCGAGCGCTTCCTTGAGAGCAACCAAGTCTTTAGATTATGAAGACATCACTCAACGGAATATTAATTTAACGGTTGGTGTCAGTGATAATGGACTTAATTTCAGTGATACATATCATACGGACTATTGTGTAATTCATGTGCGTTTAAGAGATATCAACGACAATTGGCCACAATTTGTGAAATCAAATATTGAAGTGAATGTCAGCGAAGACACAAAACTCGGGTCTATTGTCACCAAATTTCACGCAACAGATGCCGATCAGAGCGGACTTTCTGTCATTAGTTACCGAATAGACATTTGACAGAGAGGTAGAGAAGGAATATCTGTTACCCATTGTTGTCAAAGACAATGGATTTCCGGCGCAAACGGCGACCAATACTCTGACAGTTGTTATCGGAGATGTGAACGACAACCACATGAGGAATGGGTGGAAAAGGATTACAGTTTTCTATATTAAAAATAGTGATTCGAAGAGAAGACAAATAGGAAGAGTGAATGTAGACGATGAAGATGACTGGGATCTAATAGATAAGACATTCTTCTGGTTCGACCACAAACCTGCCGTCAACTTTGAATTGGACTCGAAGACTGGTATAATAAGTATGAAAAATGTGACAAAAGGTGATTATGAACTGAAATTTACGGTATTTGACGGAAAACACAAACAAGAGATTGAATCTTCAGTGGGAATTAAAGTAAATGCCATTAAATACGAAAATGTGTTGAATTCCGGTTCCATAAGAATATCCGGAATAAGAGCTCTTGAGTTCATTTCGGTGTGGAATTGGAAAACAAGACAAGAGATTAAAAGTCTATACGAGAGAGTGGTGGAGTCGTTCAAGCGATTAATACGTTGCGATAAACTCGAGATATTTAGTGTAATCCAAAGACAAGACAGCCCTCCAGTCGTTGACGTGAGATATTATGCCGAACGCCAGCACTCGTTGTTGTCATCATTTTTCTTGAATGCAGTCATTGAACAAAACAGAGCCGTCTTAGAGAGTGAGCTCCAGGTATGTCATACTATGCCATACTATGCCATACAAGCACTCAATTATCCCTTTTATTCACTATTTCTTTCTCTAAGCATTCGCTGATATTTATTGTCTTTCTATTGAATCCTTGACTTCAAACTAATACTTCTTTATAGTAATGATTGCTTTGAATCACAACAACAGCTCTCGATTAGACTCTTACGGCAGTAAAGCGTTTCCTTAAATTGTTTGATCCCTTTATATCCATTTCCTCAGACTTTAATGTTTTTCACATAAAATTAAGTCGATCTCCACTTTAAGTGAATCGCATTTCGTGTGAAAACGCATGAATTTTTCACACTTTTAATTAAATGAAATCACAGAATATTCTCGACACTAATCTCACGAATAACTCAATTATATGAAACCCATAGACAGTCGGTGATAGTCTCTCGTATGAAATGCTATAAACTTAATTAAAATGAAATATAGTTTTAAGTGAATGAAAATCTAGCGATAATCATGAGAATAGTGGTAATCTTTGTATTTATTTAGTATTAATCTTATATTTTCAGTTCAATTTCACTCAAATCGGAATCAATGAATGCATGGAAGAGGAGAGCGGAGAGTGTGAAGCAAACAGTTGTGAAACACAACTCCATTTGAATGAAACAAATCCTATGTTTATTGATTCAAATTATAGTTCGTTTGTCGGCATAAATCTAATTACAAAAACCAAATGTTTGTGTAAATCGAGTCAACTATTGTCACAAACAATTAAATCGTGTGATGATATTCACTGCTATAATGGCGGCACTTGTCTTAAGGCCAGCGACAAGAACTTTATCTGCAAATGTCCGGAAGGCAGTGATGGACCCCATTGTCAAGTGACCACTCGCTCGTTCAATGGCCAGGGATGGGTTTGGTTGCCACCACTGCCTCAATGCACTCAATCGCACATTAGTCTCGATATCATCACTCAGGTGCCCAACGGACTCCTCTTATATTACGGACCAATTAATAGGCCTTCGTTTGGCACACAAAATATTATCACTGACTTCATATCACTTGAGCTTACAAATGGTCTCAATTTTTGTTATATTATATTCTTATTTGTATTTTTAATTTTTGACAAATTGTATCGAAAAGAATTGGTTTAAATTAAACATGTATTAGTTTATTTTTGTTTTAGTTCATTAACTTTCATTAACTAATTTACACAAATGTGATTTATTTGATACATTTTAGGCTAAAATTTTCATGTTTGTTTGAAATAAGAATTAATGCATTGATTCAGAAATATGCCATTAAAAAAGAAATAGTGTCTAGTCTTATATCAAAATATAAATGAAGTATTTATTGAGTTAATAAAAATATTTGTGTTGTATTGTCAGGAATGCCACGACTTTTATACAACTTTGGTTCTGGAACTCAAGAATTGGTAGTAAAGAGTCCGAAACCACTGAACGATGGCGAGTGGCATACCATTGAAATATTTTTTGATACCCAAACGGTGCGTCTGATGACAGACCACTGCACCGATGCTGTGATATATGATTCCGAACCATTGAAAATGGACAGAACCCGGTGCGAGAATGTGTCCACTTATCAGTTCTTCGGCGAACGTCTCAATGTGAACGCACCCCTCCAGATGGGAGGTGTCTCTCATCAACCCATTGATAAGTATTACAATTGGACTCTAAGGCACTCCCGAATTGGTTTCACGGGTTGTGTTAGAAATTTGGTGCACAACGAGCTTCTCTATGATTTTGGATCCGTTTTCAATTCAGCCAATTCGCTGTTGGGCTGCTCTTCAGGTAATAGTACTATATATAGTAATATATAGTTATATATAGTACTATATATAGTAATATATAGTTATATATAGTTATATATAGTTATATATAGTACTATATATAATAGTAATTAATACTAAAATAATTAAATTTGAAAAATAATTGTAAAAATCATTTGCATCTCAATTGTATTCTGGGTTGTAGTGGACTCGATGTGTAATTTTTTCTCTCGGATGTGTCAAAACGGCAAATGTCTGGGCTCTTACAACAGTGCCAAATGTGTTTGTAACCCGGGTTGGCACGGCTCCCGGTGCGAGAAACTCACTGAACCGCGAATGTTTCAGTCGCACAGTTTCATCCGATACTCACTTCTGTTTGAATTGAATCCCTACTCAACGGAGATTCAGATGTTGTTCCGGACCCGTGAGTCTTACGGCGACCTTTTGAGGCTTTCCTCTAAAGATAAGCGCGAGTATTGTATACTTGAGATAAGGGAAGCCAGGATTCAATTCAGATTCAACTTAAACCATTTGCGGTCATCGACTGAACAAACACTGAGATTAAGACATTTCTTTGTAAACGATGGCGAATGGCATTTGGTTAGAGTCCTGAGGTTTGGATCGACTGCCACTATAACCATAGACTCGGGAGGCGTCGGAAAGTTTGCCAGAATTGATGACTATTTAGGATTACATCAATTGATACGAATTGAGCGCAAAAATGTTGTCATCGGAGGTGATGTCAATTATATTAGTATCGGCGCCGGCGTTGTGGCCAACGATTTTGATGAAGGTTTGTGTTAATTAACAAAAACTTATTTCATATTATTTTTACCCATGAATGAAATGCAGTGGTAAGAAATTAGTGCACTTGAAATATACGAGTATTTTACTAAAATGATTTGCTTGCACTTAAATTAGACACTTTAAAGTATTAATAGTAGAATTAGTAGAATTTGAATTTATTTAATGCTTGTGGATAATGAAAAGTCACACAAACTCTTAAAATTATTTATTTAAACCTACACTTTAGAGTTCATTCAATTATTTTTTCGTTACATTTAATAATCCCTTGGAAATTGTTTTCATTCAATGAATGCATTTTATTCTCTCAAAAGGCTGTTTGAATGATATCCGTATAAACGGCATATCCCTACCAATGAATAACTCAACTGAAAGTGCATTAGTGTTGGAATCGCAAGAAGTAGTGGACGGCTGTCCCTCTAATAATCCGTGTCTTCATATCACTTGTGAGATGCCTTTCATTTGTCACGACATTTGGATGACGTATGAGTGCAGGTATGGAAATATGTGAGACAGACAGAGGGATAGACAGATAGATGGAAAAGGAGAGAGAGATTATGTGTAAACCTTATATCCCAGTGTATTATACACTGTATCCTTATATCCAATACACTGTATCCTTATATCCTACACACTTCCAGAAATGATAAAATGTTTTATTCACACAATTTATTGAATGGTTTGTATTAATAATACAATTTGTGTCAATCATATAGATGTCCGAACGGTTTTGTGAAGACGAGTGATGGCACGGGTTGTGAGCCGTTTGACAAATGCATTGATCATCACAACTGTATGAAAGATGAGATTCCCTGTCGATCCTCCTCTGCCTCTCAACTCTGTTCCTGTCCTCACAATACCACTCATTGCGATACCAGTGCTAAGGAATTCGCCATCAATTTCAATACAATAGCCATTTCTGCAGTAATTGTCTGTATTCTCAACATTCCTCGTGAGCTATACTTTTATTGCGAAAATATTATTACACAAAAAATACTACTTTTTATGAATGAATTATTTAATATGTATTCTTCTCTCTCTTTAGTTATAATAGCATTGGTTTTGATTTATTTTCGATATAAAAGAAAAATGAAAAGTAATTCAGAAAATAATGAGACAGAAGTGGAAGAGAATAGCACTGAATGCGATATAAATGAGAAAAAGAGTAATAAAATCGAGAAGAAATCGAAATCAAAAAGAGTTCGTTTGGACCCAAACTCAGTGGTCATTAACTTCGAGAACTGTTCACAAGAATTGGATAAAAACTCGTTGAGTGAGTCATAAATAGTGATTGAATTGAATGAATATATTGTTGACATAAATGTGTTTGCGATTCACTGGACATACAGCACCAGATGAGCAGCATATCGGTGCCGAAGAGTTGGCTGATATCATACGCGATCACATCGAGAGAATTGATTTGCAGATCGAAGACTTGGATAATGTATGCATTTATGCGCTCGAAGGCAATGAGGACACCGTCTGCTCTCTCAGCTCATTATCCTCGCTGTCATCCATTCATTACAACATTGTCTACACCACTGCCGGCGCTAACACTACTGACCCCACGTCTAATGGCATTCAGTACTCCGTTAATACTCTGGACAATAATTATTGACCCCTTTTATAGATACAATATTTATTATGTAGTTATTTTTAATTGATTTATTTTGTAATAAATATACTTTTATATGAATTAAAATAAAGAAATAAAAGTTTAGTTTAGAGTTTTCTATTTAAAATATTATTGTTAATTATTGGTACAGTATTACAATCATTGGTAAATGAATGAGAAACTAGGCGATCGATAAATAACAGATCAATGCATTATTTATTGATAGCAAAGAATTAAATGCTATTTTTATATTGATTTAACAATTAATAACAAATGCAATGAATATTTAAGGGAATATAATAGTTATTATTTAAGTTCAAAAACCCATTATAGAATTTAATTATAGATAATTTGTTTTAAAAACTGCATTAGCTTAATAATTACTATACCATAATGAATAATGAAATAATTCAAAAAAATTATTGTAGAATATCAATATTCACTGAATATTTTTCAGATAGGTCTATTAAAAATTAATCTAAATATTCTAAATTAAAAGTCAACTAATTTTAGCATATAAAATAGATATATCAAATATTTATACTGTATGAATAAATATAAAATCAGTTCAGAATTTTGTATTACTAATAAATTATTAGTAATAATATTATAAAACATTATTAATTATATTTACATTTGAAAAGTTTAAGAAAATGACGCAAAAATAATATCGAAAACATAAGGTTTTCAAAATAATAAATAACATAAATAATGAATGTGAGAAATTATTCATTGATTATTTTACTTATTCTACTCACTAAATGTATAAATTTTTAAAAATAACATGCTATTTAAAATTTTATAAAAATAATATTTATTCTTTCTAATCGATTTTCATAATTTAGATTCACACTCACTAAACATTGGGACATCTGAAATGTATGTAAACATTATATTATATATGATTTTTAATGTATTTAATAAAATTGTTTCATAAAGAGTTAATTAAATATTTAAAGCGCGGGTTCATCGGAGGGGAAGTTATCGGGAAAGGGTCAACAAATCATAGGACTAATCAAATGTGTAGTGAAGTG